CGCGATATTTCATTTTCTTATCGTTGCCCAACATTATACTGGTATTACCGTGAACAGTAGGATATGGCCCAGCCCTAGTTCGTAGTCTTACTTAAAGTCTAATGTGAAGCCATTTTAATAATGAATGTGAGGGGGCATACATGCACTTTGCAGCTTTTTATAACCTTTATTGTGGAAGATTGATGCTTTGAATTTAAATTGAAGCCATGCACATAGAAAAGTCTGAAATTAGGTATTTAGGTAGGTTTTTAGTTTATTTGGAGAACATGCAGTGCAAACATTCAGAGCGGGCTCCTGTACAGCTCTGATGCAGGAGCTGCCTGAGTTGGGTTGAAATGAATTGTTTTTCTCTGCTTAAAACAAAAGGAACACATCATTTGGGGCCTCACATGCTAAAAAACAGCTTGACTAGTATTTGAGGGATACAGTTCACTTCAGAATCAAATAAACATATGTTGTATGTGGCCATTGATGTTATTTAGATTGTTTTGTGTATACTGCTTAGTTTGGGAGATGTTGACTGTAGAGATGCTTGCAGCCTCTTGAATATAACAGAACTAAGTGGCACTTGCTTTGTGGTGCTCAAAGTGCCCAAAAATGAATTTGATTAGTTATTTTTCGAGAGTTCAATTTTTTTTAATGCTAAACAGCAATAACAGGTGATACTCTTGTGGTTTCATTTTTCGTGTCTCTTTATACTTTGCTTTGCCATGTGTGCGTTTGCAGATGCTGAATGCACACCATGCACCATGCTGTTAGCTGATTCCACTTCCACTATTGTCATCGGCCACATAAAAACACACAATGGCTATACACTTTTGCATGAGATTGATGTGCTGGACGTGCGAGTTTCGTCAGAGGGCTTTCCCGGCAATATTTGAATAGATGTGTTGGGTTTCATTGTTTTGTTGGCACACAAACAAACACTGGTGCGTGCATTTATGAAAGCATAAATGAACTGCACACACATGCACACACCCACCCACTGGGTCATCCCTCTGCGTGTCACACAGCAGCTCCCAAGAGGAGCACTGAGGTGAAAAGACAGAGACGGAGTTTGACATAGAAACCAGTTTGTTTTGTTGACTCCATAATTACAGTGTTGTCTGGCAGCATCAAAGCACAAACAGAATAATAGTTATTACTTTACAATGCAAGAAAACAATTTTAGATCAGATCTTAGAAATATCATCGTTTTTACGTGTATAGCACCAGTTTAATGTTTTTTTTATTAAGATCATTTTTGAGAAAATAGAAAATTGATTTTTTGCACATGTGATTAAATCTATCTGATGAGTTGATTTGTAGGTTTTGTGTACATTCACACAAACTGTATGCGAAGTGAATAAACTGTGTTTGTGTTTTACTGTTGTCTGTTTTACCCTTGAATGTCCAGCAGATTGTAATTCTCATCATAGACATGAGTCTAAAAAGTTTCACCGTCAACAACGACATTAACAGTGACTCTGTTGGATTTGTGTCTCACGTGAGCGTGTCAGCGAGCCAGCATTAACAACAGCACGGCGCTGAAACGAAACCATCCAACTCGCATTTTATCCATTTTGGTATTTACACCTGTGCTTTTCCTGCCGTCACATGTCAGAGTGTCTTCGGTAATAAATGGCTTTTTGTTCAGAACAGACTGATGAAATGTGAATCTTGACCCTCTCGTTATGGTGTTCATAGTGTTAGCGCAGGCAAACACTTGAAATGGATAAATAGTCTGGCTTCTTGTTACAGAGAACAATGATGATATTTGACCGCTTTCAGCAGAAAATATTTAAGTGAAGGTAAAATGCAGGGTGGACGGATGCTGGTGTATTGCACTGCATCTCTTAAAGCATCTGAAGTGAAGTGAAATTTATTTCGGTCAACAACACAGATTATCATTTTACATAAAAGTACTCCATCATACAATAACCAAAAAAGGAATAGGATGAAACCTTGTGGCTTATAATTATCATATCCTTTACCCCATAGGAATAATCAAATCCTTAACCAAGAAAATAAATAGCATTGATAAATCAGTTATATAACAGTTTGAAAAGAAATCAATGATAAATCAAGAAATTAAATCAACACAAAGTTATTCATCAAACCAAATTTCCGAAACCTTGAATGATACAAATTTTTAAATTCTTCCTGAAAAATGACAAAGAGAAACACATCTTCAGTTCATCATTAAGTCGATTCCATAATTTCACTCCCAAAACTGACACACAACATACTTAACATCAGCATCTGCAAAGTTCCGGCCCACCCTTATAAGTAGAATAAATATCTGTTGGTTTGTTGAGAGCTAACTGAACACACAGCATGTCATTAAAACTGATAATATAATAATAATAGTATTCAATAACAATTTGCACATTGCTACCTGCTTTTATATTTCTGCATTATTCAGTGATAGAGAAAACCTTTTAGGAGGGTTTTCAAACTGTGTATCCTTCAAACTTTAAGTAAAATGAGCTTACTTACAGCTAACTGCTGACTAGTACTTATAAACACTTTTAAAAAATACATTAAAGCTGCATGCAATGTTTCTGTGTCTTTAAAGACTCAGTGTTTATTATTAGTGCTATAAATGTATAAATTATTCACTGCAACAATAATAAATAAAAACTTATAGAAAGTTATTGATTGTAATGCACTGCATTAAATTTTTAACAATGTGTTTATGCTAGAACTATGTAAACTAAACTCATAATGAATTGTCTTAGTGACATGCACAATCTTCAAATCAAATCAAATCAAATTCAAATTTTATTTGTCAC